GTAGTCATGGCAAATACATTTTTTTTTCATTCCATCATAGCTCGTTCGGGGATAATGTGTGTGCCACTATGATAAAAGCGTCCGTATTACACGGGTGTTATAACGAAATTATTGTTTTCTATCGAATCACCCTCGTATTTACTGAGAGGATCACTTCCGCTAAAGACGATCATGCGCATTACAAGGCTAGTGAAATCGGAATCTCGAAGAGGTGGTACAGGATAAATAAATGAACGCAAAGGCCATGGTATCATGCGCTTAGCAATCTCGGTTTCAGAAGAACGAGACATGCTTGCGCGGAAATTGAATTGGTTATATGTGCGACGTCGTCTCACCGTTGAAATCTTGTTGAAACTCCTTAGAAGTTTTGATTTTTCCAGAAGCCATGATCACCAATACTTCACCTCTCTTTACCAATTCCAATGCCCTTTTCGTGATGAGGAAAGTTTTTCCTGTCCCACTGGCCCCACACATGAAGGTAACCTTCGCTTCGCTCATCACAATTACTCTCTGCAGCCCTCATTTGTATCGTAAGTCGACAAAGTAAACAAGAAGCGAGGACCACTTGTCAACCCAACCTAAAGCTCCTTACAGTTGCCGTCTACGTCGTGTATGCATTTCCAGTTTATACGGGAACTTCCAGATAGCTATCGGGGACTCGGGATCATGATCCGAGGGATTTTCCAGCACAATTCCCTGCCGAGATAAGAAGTTGCAGAAATTTTCTAGGTTACTCAGGTCATCCGAGGTGATAATTCTCTCCCTGCACTCTCTGCACTTCGTCACTTTTTGCAAATCCGACCGGGAAAGCATTGGCAAAGCTGCGAAACCTGCCAATTTCACATTCGAATTCATGAATATCCCACACACGGTTCGGAAAACATTAAAATCTTTCTTGATCTGCTTCGTTGCACTTGCAAGCGAATGAGTGATAACCCTGATGTTTGCTTTGGAAGTTGTTGCCTTAACTTGAAAGAAAAGTCCTAATATTTCCTGGCCGGATATGGCGATTCCAAATACATCATGGA